GTTTCAGGTAAAGAAAATGGGATGAGTAGCGAGTTTCAGGTAAAGAAAATGAGATGAGTAGATGAGTTTCAGGTAAAGAAAATGAGATGAGTAGCGAGTTTCAGGTAAAGAAAATGATGAGTAGATGAGTTTCAGGTAAAGAAAATGAGATGAGTAGATGAGTTTCAGGTAAAGAAAATGAGATGAGTAGCGAGTTTCAGGTAAAGAAAATGAGATGAGTAGATGAGTTTCAGGTAAAGAAAATGAGATGAGTAGCGAGTTTCAGGTAAAGAAAATGAGATGAGTAGATGAGTTTCAGGTAAAGAAAATGAGATGAGTAGCGAGTTTCAGAAGCAAAACTGATTTGTTTTTATTTCCTTTATCTGTCTACTCACCAAGGTTCTGACAAATTTATACAACTGCTGTACCAAACAAGAGAATATATGAAATACATACTTTCATATGAAATAAAAACAAATCAGTTTTGCTTCGATTTGTTGCATTGATTTGTTTCTGTATTACAAAGGCTACCTTAAGAATCTATTAACATTATCATTATTCTAATGGAGATTACAGACTTATAATTGCAATATATCTTTATTCCTCAATTATCTAATTTCAAACGTAATTGGAGAAAAGTAGGAAGAAAATTGGGGATATCATAATTCGTAATAAATATGTGTTCTTGCAAATATCAAGCACAAATTGTTTTACAACAAATATAATTACGTTTTCACCACAGGACTTGACAGTTTTCAAATCCAGGTAAAGCTCACGATTATAAATGTCAGTTCTAATGTATGGTCGATATCTTTATTTAAAACATTGTCATATTAGAATATTTTTAATCATTTATAACACTTTCTTTATTAATCAAGTAAGCTAAGTTTAGTAAGTTTCGCTCATATGCACCTGTCAACAGTTCAAACTACAATTTTCTTTTTCTATATATCTAAACTATAATTTTAAACTATAATTTTTATGAAGTTGCGAAAAATACAAACTTTATGCAAAGTGGTGACAATATATATATAAATAAATAATGAAGATTTTGGTTAAATATATTTTATTTCTAATTACTATTGTTATATGCATTAATTACGGGGATCAGTTTATTGTATAATACCAAATGAAATAGGTCCAGCACTTTATGTCCAGTAGAAACATATTAATACCAATGTTGTCAAAAATGATGGTAGATATATAGCATTTAGTGTTATGAGATTTTCACAGGTGATATCAAACAGCCATATCCTTCTGGCGTCATTTTAAACTGGCACAATCTTCCATATAGTTTCTATATGAAATGAAAAGACGAACTGTTCTCTGACATGGCTGTGATTTCTGGAAAATTTCCTCAAAGATGAAAAAAAAAATGTGATTTTACAGAAGGAAGATGAGAATACCGTTAACAACGACTAATTTTTAAAGAAAATGGAAAAATTAGGACGCATACATTGAACCAGAAAGAGACAAATGAAATTTCTAGTGCGCATAATGAGGAAAGAGGGCTTGGAAAATTTGATACTCACAGGATAGATTGAAGGCAAAAGAAACCGAGTAAAACAACGCATAACCAACCTAGCAAGATTGAGTAAATGGATGGTAGAACAGTGTTTAGGAGAGATAACAAAACGACTAAATTTATTGAGAGCTAGAAAGGAGAGAAAATTATGGAAAGCCATGCAAAATGGTGGCAATATATGGAAAAATAATGAGGATTTGTGTTAAATATATTTATGTTCAATTATTACCGTTATATGTAGTAATTATGGAGGATAATAGCAAATGAAAAAAGGTTCAGCACTTTATGTCAAGTAGAAAAATATTAATAACCTACCTAGCGAGCTTGTGTAAATTGATGGTAGAACAAGGTTCCGATGCGATAACAAAAAGACACAATTTATTAAAAGCAACAAAAGACAGGAAATTGCGGAGAGCTATGATTGCCTAAGTCCTGAAGAGACACAGAAGAATAAGAACTTTGTGAAAAAAAAAGCAAGTCTCAGTTTAAACTGACACCAAGAAGATACGATTAAATTTATTTTTTCTTTTTAGTGGGGTTTAACTTATATTAGTTTAGATTCGACAGATAGAATCAAGAACTCAAGCTCGAAATGAATTTTATATTAATCTGATTTTCACATCATAGAAAACAATTTCAATTTATTTCAAAATAAAGTATAATGGAGAAACATTACGAAGGAATTTAATAAAGAACTGAATTTCAAATCCTCTCAATTTTTTCTTACACGAAACCAGAAAAGAACAAACATAAGGAGTTTTAGAAATAAATGTCAACAAGTTTTCTTCATTAAATATTAATAATATACTTGCAAAATCTGCAAGGCAAAAAATATTTTATAATTTATTTTCTAGTTACGTATATAGACTTTTATATACACTGATACCGTATCCACCATTTGTAAGAGAATACACTGTTCCCTACTTTATTTACTGCAGTGCATTATTGCAGTTTTCCTAACACATAAATAGAGATTTATAAGTGTAGCCTAAAAACTATGCGAGAGTAAATTAATGTTGATTATTCTAATTTTTAACTAGCTACATATCGATCATCTTCAATATCTTTACAAGTTAAGACAGTTGTCTTTAAGGTGGATTCAGATTATTAGGGAATCAAAAGTGAAGGGCCCCCTACATTATTTTTCTTGTGACCAGATTATATTTGCAATAAAATCGTAGTAAACTAGTAACACACCTGCAAAAATAATTTTGGTGGGTAATTTGTCAACTATTTTCGTAGTCCCCCTAAACCGAGAAAATTGTACAACTGTTTTAATATTTCAAAAGACATTACCAAATGGAAATGGCTTTATTTTATACATATTCGTTTCATTGATCCCAGTCTTTGCAGTCTGGCTCTTTAAAATATGTCTATTTTGACGTCTGCTTTGCTTTGGATTGTATTAAATAACAAGAGAGTTTCCTATCACTTACATGAATTTATATTTACAAAATAAAGAGATTGATATTTTTACTATATTACTATATTATGGTACTAAAGCAGTAATATTCTTGTATTATTTTGAACCTTTTTTTCTCGCCTTGGCTGATATTGATGTTATTATAGACACCTTTCGATCAATTACCCTCAAGATTTCCATATCAACCAATTAATGGAAACTAGGTGATATTCAGAAACTACTTGGTCGAAATGCTATGTACATAACATCTATATCAACCAAGATGAGAATAATTGTTCGAAATAATAAAAGACAATTACTCAACTCGGAACGGAATTTAAATATTAAAATGATAAAAACAGTTTATCTAGGCCTCGTTCTCATGAGGTGAATGTCAAGTGTGGCACTATTGTTGGAGTGTTCACATGATATCATTATATTTCAGCAGTGAATATATCGTAAACTTTCAATGTTTGTTTAGGGTTCTTTTACAAATAATACACGCATATAAAATAGGACCTAATTTAAATTTTGAATACCATTTAATAGATTAAGACAACGTTTAAACCAAAGTTCTTACAATAAACATTTTTGTTTTCTTTTGCATGTTTATAGCGTGATTACTAATTAGTGCTTAATTTTTCATATAAAGCGGTGCGCTTTTCATGCTTAGCTGCCAATGTCATTTTTTTTGTTTTGTTTTTTGTTTTGTTTTTTACTTTTAATCAGTTATATTGGATCTTATCCTTTTTAATATTATCTTCATTTAACTTAATTTTTGAGAAAGCAGCAATTCAAAAAATAAGAAAACCTTATTTTTTTTTCATATGGAAGACAGTATGCCTCTCTTTAAAACCAACATTCAAAATACTACCTTTTACCTAGATTGGAAATCGAAGCTATAGTAACAGTTAGAAATGAACTCACAATTAGCTCTATAATTAGTATATACTTAAATAAAAATGCATAAAACGGTGGAAAAATTTACTTGCAGGACGTCATCGGACTACATTTGTTATGTTGGTAGGACTACACATGGGCACGAACGTGTGATACTAGGGATTTTAGAATTTTTTTTATTTCTAGCCGAATTCATTTAGAGTCTTTCTTTTTTTTCTCTTTTCTTTCCATTATCACATTTTTGGATATGTACTAACAAAAGTAATGGAAAGAAAAAGAAAAAGAAAAAGACTTTAAATAAATAGATATAAAATAATAAAAATTTGAAAATTCTAAAATTTCCACTTTGTCATACATTTTCTCCATATATCGTTATCTCATAAAAGATAAAGAAAGAAATTTATTTTTTCATATCACATTCCGTCTTCCATTATTATCGTCTGATTCCTTGCATGTGATTTACAGTGTGCGATTAGATACGCAATTAATATTTGCAGGTTCATTAACAACAATCCATCGTGATAGATTCTAAGTACGATATAAATATATCAAACTGAAATACGTCTACATGTTTGAGTGTGATGTCGCTTGAAAACTGCAGTGATATGAATGACAGTATTGGGTTTAGAACTTTCTTTCGCGTTTTGGTTCTCTTAATCCGAAAGTAATTAAAGCTTGTGGACTTTAAGAGCTCAATGCTCGCTCTCTTGCTCTAAATGATGTTGCACCTCAAATTAATTAGGGCGTTCAGTCAATTACAATAATGAATGTTGTGTATTTTTTATGCAGTTCGCAGGCGCCAACGTTATGTTAATCTGCAACTATTTTCATGAGGATATTGCATTGTCACTCGATCTATGGAAATGCGAAATCATTTCTGTGCCAATATAGATGCTTATGAGTGAATAGTGTGCGTGTGTCTCTCTCGAGGAAACGGATAAATAAAAAAAGCAAGAGGGGTGCGTCAACAATAGAAAGAACAGCAAAAACAACAATAATAACAATAATAATCATAACAAAAATAGAAATAATAAAATAATAATGGGTTTCGCCAAAGGACCAGATTGAATCGAGGCACAAATAATGGCATTTGAAACAACAACATCAACAACAACAACAAAGCAACAACAACAACAATAATAATGATAATAATAATAATATATTGCAATTTTGGCCGAAAAATAAGCAGGAGATATGTTCACTAGAAAATGTATACACCAGGATAAACAGCCTCTCCAATTCTCCCCTCTCTCTATCTATCTATCTCTCTCTATCTCTCTCTCTCTCCGCCGATTTCTCACCCTCTTTCCACTGCTATCTCTCTTTTCCTCCT